TCTTATACACATCTAGATGTGTATAAGAGACAGGTGCGGGGGGGGGGGGGGGGTCGGGTAGCCCCGCGGCGGGGGTCCGGGGTTGAAACCCGTACCCCGACTTGGGCCCCGGGGATCCCCGCGTGACAACCCTGATTAGCGGTCCCCTGCACAGTTTAAACAATAAGCGAATTTTGCTTATTCCATCCATTCTCCGGCCTCACCCGGGCAACTCCCCGGTCCTTAACTTCGATATCCTTCCCCCTTTTCATTCCTCCCTCTTTCTCTTGCCTCTCCTACCGGCCTGTCTCTACTTCCATTGGCTCATACAAGCGGTACAGGTCATCTACGTAAGTCATTCCCCGACTTATCTCTTGTCGAACAACGCCTCATAGAACCCCGTCGCTAACGACCGGAGCCCTTGGCCTGGTGGTAAATACGACGCGCAGGATTCACAATACTTCATACCTCTGCTCTCCGCTGAACGGCCCCATTTCTAGGAAGGCCCGGTAATACTCTTGGTGAACCATCGCGTCCTCAAACGTTACGTTCACGAGGTCGGCCACAGCCCTCCTAACAAGCGTTACCCCGCCTAACCTTTCTAGCAAAAAGGGCGGCAATCTCATTCGAACGTTTTCACTAGGCAACTCAAAGCTTCCGACCATGGCTACTCTAAGGTTAGTTGTCACGTCATCAAGTTCTGGGTCTGCAAATTAGAACCCCGCCTGCCACACTAATTGCCACGCTCCCTCGAACATACTTAGCGGATCTTCCGCTGATGCCAACAGGACTCCGAACGCCCGCCACCCGTCCTCGGACTCATATAACCAACCTTCCGCATGCACGTGTCCCCATGGGTCCGGGTTACATTCCCCATTTTCATCCGCACACCGCTCAATTCTCGTCACTAAGTAAACCGTGTTTTCCATGAGCTCAGCCCCGACCCAGTCCACCACCGGGTGCCAGCCCTCGCTTGCGGCAGGCAGACTAATTTTTATTCCACCAGCCACTTCCCTTGCGGCTCAATGCCCAGCGGGCGGTCCGCAAGGAACGTCCTTCTTCGTGCCATTGCGCGCCTGTCCTTGGTCTCCTTATTCCGCAGTTTGTAATGAACCCTACAAGGGCCAGACATCCCACTCCCTTATCTTAGTAGTATTTCATACTTGCCTGACCCGCGGCTTTCCCTGCTCCTAGTCAAACCACAATACCTCGAACAACTTAAACACATCATCCACATAGCAAGGTATCGCCGCTACCTCCCGGCGGATTATAGCCTCCCTAGTTCCCGGAGCTACCTCCAATTGGTCGTACCTATCCATATTCAAAATGATGAGGACCTCCCAAGCTCTATCACCATGGAAAGACCAGTACTTCAGTGATGTTTTATAAAATTCCTCTGACAGCCATGTATAGTCTATATGTACCCGTTCCATAGTGCTAGCCACTTCCGCAACATGATCAAAACCCCCAAACCAGTCCACTACGAACTCGGGGACCCAGATCCTCTTTCGCAGGCAGGGAGGCCTAAATTCTTTCCATCCCCCCATTACGACCTTACTGTGGACCTCATCCCATCCCTTATTGGCAAACCTCTCACCCGTCTTCCGAGTCCTTGTCTCTGCTCTCTCCAGAAGCCACATCGAATTTTGCCCCGCCGCTAGCATGGTGCAGAACAGATGTCCCCCCTGTTCCGACAAGACGACCGTCCCAACCGATTCCACCTTTCCTTCTGCGATGTCTTCCCATCCATCTTCCTCCCTAATGGGGTTCCAGATACGTCCCATCCATAGATACAACATTTCCGGTGCGATCTCAAGCCCGACCCAGTCACACGTCGCTCCTTTCCACTCACATTCCGTCGGCAGGGGCATTTCTACTCCCACTCTAATTCGCCTTGGTTCCCACCCTTTGAACGTGCAGTCCCACAATTGGAGTTCCCGGGCCATTGTTCCCTACCTGCACATAGTCGACAGCCCCTTCCCGGGTAAGTCCCTTCTAAAAAATCCCAATCCTCTATCTCGTCGTCGTCCCCGTCATCACTGAAATCATCCTCCCCGTCAAAGAACAAGTCCTTCAGCCCTTCTAGGAAGGTCTCTCCTACTGCCACACTTCGATAGATTATCTGCACTGAACTAGATACAAAGACATCATCCGCGCTGAGAAGGTTCAATACCTCGGCTAATTCCTCCACTCAGTTCCCTCCGAACAGCCCCATTTCTACCGACAGCCTAAAGAAGTCCTGTCGAGCACACCGGTACAGCCTCAAGTGTGTCATCGACTGACATATTTGTTCCAATCTGCCCCAGGTTCCAAAGACTTCATCTACCAGAAACGGGGGTAGCACGCACCTCATTGTTCTAAGAGGCCGCGTCACATTTCCCCTATCCCCGAGCTCCACTCGCACCTCCATCTTATCCATTTCCATTTGCGCCCGCTGATATGCCACCGATACCACTTCTCGTTCCGCTTGTCTAAACAACGAGTTTGGCGCCGTTCCCAGCACTAATTCTATTACCATTGCATTTTCCATCTCCTTGGATAGGTAGACCCACCCTCGGGCTTCCACCGTCCCCCGGAATTCTAAGTCCATCACGCTCGGCGACGGTCTCGTTAGGCTAACCTTAGTCCAGATTGTCTCTATCCAGAGGAACGCGTCCTTTTCGTCCAGCATCACAGTTTGGTAGGCTGGCTCTAGGTCTGTCCACGTTCCTTTTTCTGGGAGGACGATTGATACCCCCTCCTTTATTTCTATAGGCATTTCCCGACCACTAGAATAGGTAGGAGATGAGAACCACCGCGCCATTCCGTTTTCCGGCTCCGGTCCTGTTTCTACAAGAGAGCACCACACGACCCCTCTTGGTCAGACTGTCTCCCTTTCTAGATGAGAATAGTTTTCAGACCCCTCATCCGGTGTCGAACCTACCCTTACAAGGGTATTTGGCCATGCTTTTGCATTCAACACGGTGACGGCGTCGGCTACCATGATGGAGCCAGTCTGGAATGGAAAGGGTGTGCACGCTTGAGCGTGACACTCGAAACGAATTCCTCGGCCAATGAGGCCGGGACAAATCGGTGAGAAAATTTTGAGAGCATGAGCACGCATTATTATGACGCGCGCTGTGATGGTTAGGATCAGTAGTAATCGCATGTTGTGATGGTTAGGATCAGTAGTAATACCCCTCGACAAAAGAAGTCGAGGGGTCAGTCGGCTTAACATTGTGTCGGTAAGATCTATGACACGCACAGAGACTTAATCATCAATACATTAGTCAAATTAAAATTAATATATGCCCCGACCGCACGGCAGGAGCAATTAACAATGTGTGATCGTCAGGTTGAGGTAACACCCTAAAAATGCAATGCACTTGCTCAAGCGGTATACCATAAGTAAGAACTGAGGGTTTCACCAGTTTGGCGAAGCGTTTGCCTTCTGGACGATGACTGCAGCGGGCCTTCATCTGCCCTGGCCTACAGCCAGGGCCTATTTGGCTATTTGCCAGTTCGGCCTGTGGGACCAGGTCGTGGCCTTACCCCACAGGCCGTGTGATGTTTCAGTCCTGCCCGGTACCACTGTCGGTACCAGGCCAGTCCAGTCAGTCAGTCCGCTGGGGGTATACCCCAGCTGTAGTCTGTTTTTGATTCATTCTTCATTTGCACAGATTGGAGTACGTGCGTGTTGAGTCTGCGTTGGAGCTGCACTGTCCCTTCCAGCTCCATCTCCATCTCCCCCATCCTCATCCCTTCGTCTTGATCCTGACGGACCGCCATCCCGACGGGTCTGTCACACTGGTATCAGAGCAGGCTTTCCTCCCTGCTCCTCT